AATAGAGTATCACAGATCTGAGGGGGAAAAAAGGAGGTGGAGGAAATATAATCTTCCAAAACTGATTCTAAAAATATTAGCCTGGAGAGGTCACTAACCACAGAAAAAAAAAAAAAAAAGGAAAAAGTTATCAAATAATTGTTTTCCATAACAGGCCTATGTTAAAATATTTTATGACTACATATCCACGTACTTGAAGTAACAATTCCCAGCCTACATTTTTTTTCAGGGCATAGGAAAAGATTAAAAGTGACCCAATTCATTTTGCGAACCAAACATAACCAACTCTGACCCCACAACTGACAAAAATCATTTTAAACAAGAAAATTGTGTACTAGACTCATTTTTAGGATGCTAACTCCAAATAAATGCTAGTAAATTTAATTCAATCAAACTTTAAAAGAATAATCTGTCATGATAAAAAAATACAAATGCAAACATAGTTCAATATTAGAAAATAAAAAGCATTAGGGGCACTTTGGTGGCTCGGTCGGTTAAGCTTCCAACTTTGGCTCAGGTCATGATGTCACAGTTTGTGAGTTCAAGCCCCACATCAGGCTGTGTGCTGACAGCTCAGAGCCTGAGGCCTGCTTAGGATTTGTGTCTCCCTCTCTCTCTACCCCTCCCCTGCTCACACATTGTCTCTCAAAAATAATAAACATTATCAATTTTAAAAAAAAGAAAATAAAAAGTATCAAATCAATAAGCCAGTAGGAAATAAAACATAAGATCATAATATATGCAGAATGAGCATTTAATAAATTCCAAGTTCATCCCTAATGATCTATCCTTGGCCTAGAGCTACTACACTTAACAATGAAATATTAGATATATCCCCATTAAAATAAGAAGCAAAGTACATGATATCCAATATCATCACCATTAGTTGACATTCTAGAAGATTTCACCAGTATAACACATAGAACAGAATAAGAGGCATAAATCTTAGAAAAGAGGAGCCTCTCTGCAGACAGGAAATGGGAATATACCCAAAAATTCCAAGAGGATCAACAGAAAATCCATTGGAACTTAAGAATCTATCACCTTTGTGTATGGCAGTAATAACCAGTGAGAAATACAGTAACAGAAAATTTCCCTTTGCATTACTATTGGGAGCCATTCTGAGGCCACTAGTCGAGAAAACTGCTGGTGAGGTTAAAGCAAGTTTGCATGGTCTCTTGCCAATCAGATGATAACCGATATCCACCCCCATTCACTTATTTCTGCTTGAGCACCAACCCCCCAAGGTACCTTGTTGATCAATATCGGGAGTGACTTGTCCCTTTATTCTGGCCCTGGTATGATGATTGCACCTTGTGAAGGAACTTATTGTGGGAACTTCTTCTTTTGATTATGGGAACAGACATCGTGTCTCCAACAGGTCCCATTTCCCTCCATGCTTTCCCTTGAGCTATGAACAGGCTAATGACCCTTACTCATAAAAGATTGACCTTTACATGTACATTTCTGTTTCTACAGTTGCGTTAATCCAAGATGATCATACAGCTCAACATGTAAATCAGCTAACCAAAAATGTCTCTCATGCCCTAGCTATTCAAGAAATCACAAAACTAGACACAAAGGTAAATCACTCGAAAAGGCTGTTCTATGTATTGGAAATGAGCTAAATTCTTTAAAGGTATGGCTGGCTCTTTGGCGCCATAAAGCATATAACTGGAAAATCAAGTCTTACCCAGAGACAAAGAGCCTAACTTAGAGAGAAGGAACAGATAAGAGCAGAACATAAGTTACCACATATACCTGTGCTAACTGGTGATATATAGCAGCCCCTTCCCTAAGGCCTACATTCCACAAACACCTTCCCCTACCCTGGCAGCTGTGATGAGGATGGATAAGAGTATCTACAAACCTATGACTTGATCTTAGTGTTATTATAATGTGAACACCCTGTTATTTTCTTAGTTACTCAATCTCACTATAATTGGGGCAGTTCTGCAAGAAGACTTCTGTAAAACCGGTTTCTGTACATTTTCCAAAAACATCTTATCACAGAGGAGTATCCATTGTAAAAATTCCATCTTCTGATGCCATGTTAACATTTGACCTATAAATAAAGACACCAAAACCGACAGTGCAGAGATGCCTGCCTGGTGATCAGAAAGAATCTCAGGGCTCTCTCACTCCCTGCCTCACCGACACTGTCCATCCTTCAGGGAGCCCTGGGCCTGGCCAGAGCTGGATTCCGGCACATTACAACAACAAAAACAAAAAACAAAGTAATACCAGGATAAACTTTAGAAATGTGGGTTTACATGAAAAAGAACTAACCTTCACTAGAAGACTTTGTATATCAAAAGCACATAAAAAATCAGAAATACAAAGCAACATATTAGTGAACCAAACACGTTATCACTCATTAAAGACAGGAGGCAAACTCTGAAAATGTATTTTTTAAAGTAAACTTTATTAGCAATCAAAGAAATGCAGATTAGAGTAATACTGATGCCACTTTTCACTTAGTAAATGAAAGGAGATTTTCTGTTTGTCTGATTAATTTTCTGTTTTTAATGTTACTGCAACTCAGTACTGTCAAGAGTGAGATAAAATAGATACTTTGTTCAAACAGCATTTATACCCTGCAATGCTGGTGTAATCAAAACCCTCTTTCTGAAAAAAAAATTTTGGATGGGTGTATCATTAGTTTTAGTTATAATACTCATTTGCACCTGGTAATTCTTTTTTTTTGTAAGTGGATTTCATGCCCAGCTTGGGGCCCCAAAGCAGGGCTCAAACTCATGACCTTGAGATCAAGACCTGAGCAAAGATCAAGAGTCAGAAGCAGCCTAAGCTGAACCGACTAAGCCACCCAGAAGCCACTACATCTAGCAATTCTTCTTGTAGAAATTCTTAGTAAATTTTTGGATCTATCAATGAGGGTTGTGTTCCAAGAGGTTCATAGCAACTTTACACCAAATAAAAGGGGAGAGGGAAAATGCCTAAGTCTCCAACATTAGAAAAATGCTTAAGTACATTGTATTTTGGGACCTCATTTTTAGTGGTTGTATAATATTATTTCAGTGTATATATTTACACATATATGTATTTATTTAGAATTAAAAATGATGTATATAGGGTCGCCTGGGTGGTTCAGTTGGTTAAATGTCCAACTCTTGATCTTGGTTCAGGTCATAATCTCACAGTTCGTGAGTTCAAGCCCTGCATCGGGCTCTGTGTTGATGGTGCAGAGCCTGCTTGAGATTGTCTCTCTCCTCCTCTCTGCCCTTCACCTGCTTGTGTGCTTTCCCTCTCTCAAAATAAAAAATCCAAACTTTTCAAAAAATGATATGTATAAAGAGTTTTACCTTTCATTTGTAACTACTTACTATGTACTGTTAAGCAAAAAAAAATCAGGATATAAAATAATATCAATAATGTAAACTCAATACATTTCTTAAAATGAAAATCTAAGGATCAAAGTTAAATATGTCCAAATGTTAGGAAAAAAACAATCTCTTGGTGCTGGAGTTGAAGGTAATTTCTCTGCTTCTTTCTGCTTTTGTCTACTAAAAATTTAAGAACATGTCGTATTACTTAAAAAGAAAAATACTCAGGGAACCTGAATGGCTCAGTCAGTTAAGTGTCCAACTTCAGCTCAGTCAGGTCCATGATCTTACTATTGGCAAGTTCAGAGCATTGGGCTCTGTGTTGACAGCTCGGAGCCTAGAGCCTGCTTCAGATTCTGTGTCTCCCCGCTCTCTCTGCCCCTTCCCCCACTTGTTCTATCTTTAAAAAAAGAAAAGAAAAGAAAAGAAAAAAAAGAAAAGAAAAAAAAAATACTCAACAAGCATTCATAATCTGGGGTTGGTTGATGGATGGGCTCCAGCTTGTCCATGACTCCACTAAAGTTGTACATTATCTTTTGTGTCACTGAATTTATCAGGAGAGAGAATAAGTTTTCAAAGGGCTTCATCATCTCGGAATTACTAAAACCCATGAATTAAAAATTTTTAGAAAGTGATTTAAAAGAGTCATAGTAACATATCCATCACGTTCCAGATTTGCCCGCACACATTTATATTTAAAACATTGATAGTTTAAATATCATTATTTTAAAAACTAAACCAGCAAACTTTTACTTGTTTGACATTCACATGGAGAAACTCCTAAGATACTCATGAACATCTTTCTCATTTAAATTATAACTGCCACTAAAATGGTTATTGTATAAATATCTATAGAGCAACTGTACAAACAAGGAACCAGAAGCATGAAAACTTTCTTCAGATAAGAATTTCCTAGTCCAGGGGCACCTGGGTGGCTTAGTCAGTTAAGTTTCCTACTTTCGCTTAGGTCATGATCTCGCGGTTCATGGGTTCGAGCCCCGCGTCAGGCTCTGTGCTGACTGCCAGCTCAGAGCCTGGAGCCTGTTTCAGTCTGTGACTCCCTCTCTCTTTGAACCTCCCCTGCTCACGCTGTCTCTCTCTCTCTCTCCTAGAAATAAATAAAACATTAAAAAAAAAAAAAGAATTTCCTAGTCCAAGGTACAGGACAATGAGAACAAGGTACTACACCTTCCCAGGACAATTTGTTTATTTCTGTCTGTATACATGTATGTGTGTGTGTGCATGTGAGCATTTGAGTATTTTTATTCAAGCTTTCCCTTGCTCAAAAAACAAATTGAGGAAGCTTAGCAAAATAAGTAGAACAACATAACATAAAATTTAACCTAAGTGAGTGAGTCAACTGGGACAAAGGCCAAAATGAGGTAGAAAAAGTAAGACCAAGCCAAGAGTAAGGTCAATACTCTCAGTTTATGCCAAAGCTTTAAGTTTCCTTGTAGCCTAAATAAAGAGGTAAACATGATCTGTTACATGAGTGTTATGGCCCAGAAGATAAAAAGAAACCAGTTACTCAGGAGAAGCCCAACTATTGCTAGTTCTACCACCAAAGAGAAAGTTTCCCCCATGGGTCCTCATGAAGAAGACACTGTGTGATATAATGAACATCATCTTCACGGGATTAAATAATGAACAAATCCTGTGCTCTCTCTGGCAGTACAAATACTCAGATTGGAACGATGCAGAGATTAGCCTGGACCCTGCATGAGGCTGACATGCAAATTCGTGTAGTGTTCCATTAAAAAAATAATAATAATAGGAGCACCTGGGTGGCTCAGTCAGTTAAGCGTTGGGCTCTTGATCTCAGCTCAGGTCTTGATCTCAGGGCTGTGAGTTTCAGCCCCACGTTGGACTCCATGCTGGGCAGAGAGCCTACTTTAAAAACATTAAAAAATTAATAATAACAATGAGCAACATTCTGATATAAAGTATTCAGCGGAGTACCTGAGTCATCCTACCCATCACTGGAGAAGTCTTCAACGGTCACGTACGTAAGGTCACCACTCCCCATCCCCCTTCCCAGCTCTGTTGGTTCCGTAGCACTTGCTATCAATTTCTCTCTTTTTAAAATTTTTTTAACATTTATTTATTTTTGAGAGACAGAGTGTGAGCAGGGGAGGGGCAGAGAGAGAGGGAGACACACAGTCCGAAGCAGGCTCCAGGCTCAGGGCTGTCAGCACAGAGCCCGACACGGGGCTGAGACTCACAAGACCACAGGGTCATGACCTGAGCCGAAGTCGGACGCTTAACCGACAGCCACCCAAGTTCCCCTTTATCTCTTTTTTTAAACTATTTATTTATTTTGAGAGAGAGAGTATGTGCATGAGTGGGGGGGGGGGAGGCAGAGAGTGACTCCCAAGCAGGCTCCATGCTCTCAGCACAGAGCCCCATACGAGGCTCCATCCCACGCAACATAAGATCACCACCTAAGTCAAAATCAAGAGTCAGATGCTCAACCGACTGAGTCACCCAGGCGCCCCTATTATATTTCTTTTGCACTGTCTCCCCCTCCCCCACTAAAATATAAATTCAACGAAGGCAGAGATTTTGTCTCCCTCATTCATCTGCATTCCCAGAATTTAAAAGAATATCAAGCATGTGAAAATTGCTCACTATATATTTATTGAAAGAATGAGTGAACTTCAGGAATTACCATCATACAATAAATAATTATCATTATTATTATTAAGATAGTATTATCAGGACTCACAGAACTCTTTTATATAATATTCTTCAGGGTAAAGGTAAAATTAAAAGAAGTTAAAATTTAAAAAGGCAATTCTGTGAAAGTCACAACAATGTAGTATAAGAACGCAGCTTTCAGTAGTCAAGATAGGATTATTATGACATCTAAAGGAATCAACTGTAGTTTTGGGTGATCCTTTATAAATACAGGTTTGATCACTGCAATGAAGCTGCAAACTGGGGTTGGATTTCCTGAAAGAGCTTAGAGAAGAGGTGTTCCAGATCTCTGCAAAGCACACAGCTCTACGGCTTGGTTCAGCTAAGCTGGAGTTTGAAACATAACATATGCCTGAACTGAAAATAGGTTTGGTGCCCACAGGGACAGGCCAAGGGATAATCCCCAGCCAGAGCAGAAAATGATTAGGTGTCCGTGTTAACATAAAGACAATTCGATGATGATGGTCTCAAATGCTTATGCTATAGTTTAATAGCTGTTGAGTTTTTAGCCTAGGAAACACTTCACACAGGATACCCAGTTGCCCGTCTGAACCACAAACCATCTTAGTAAGTGTCCAATAAAGGAACAGGCACTTAGAGTATCTTGTAATTGCGGGATATACACGTAAGCAAATAAGTTTATTTCCTGGATAGAGATATTTTCCATACAGGACTTAACTATCCAGAGACATACACAACTATGAGAACTTTAGGTTGATTACAGTTGCTCTGCAGCAACTCTTTCTAAAACTATTATCCAACAGAATCAGCTGTCATTTCAATCAGTCCCAGCTGCTGACAATTATATTTGGCATCTAGGAGAAGATCTTTTTCTTTCCCTTGGAGTTTGGGGAAGGGGAGGTCATTCACCCAGGTTATCTTGAAGTGATACCATTTTTCTTTTTTTAAGTGAGAGCAAAGAACCACAAAACCTCCCTGGTTCAGTCCCACCAAGTACTATTATTTGATTCACAAAAGCCCAGGCACACCTACCTGACTCTCACCTTGACATCTCATGGCGATACAAAATGGGATGTGATGGGTGCCTAGAGCTGATGCTCAGCACAGATCCCCCAGGAGAACTAGAATATTCCTGTCCCCAACTGCTGGGGCTGCTGCCCACATTCAGTCTTCACCTGTCAGCCACTTTGGGAATGGCTTCTGCTGAGAAAACTTGTACCTGGCCCAAATGCACAATGACCCTCATGCACGCATCCTCGGAGAACTCTCCACAGCTGTCCACCTCTGCACATCTAAATCTAGCCTGCCCATCAGGGACCCTGCTCAAATATCGTCTTCTTCTGGAGGCCTTTCCAGATTCCCCAGCAATGTTCCTTCCTTCTCTGAATGGCCCTGCTCCCTTCTCTGACAGGACTGCTAGATATAATAACAGGATATCCGGTTAAACTCACATTTCAGATTAACAACAAATATTTTTAGTAAAGTTATGTCCCAAATGTTGCACGAGACACATATGTACTAAAAAAACTATTCATTGCCAATCTGAAATGCAAATTTAACTGGGCATGTTGTAGTTTTTTTTTTTTTTTTATTCTAGAGAGAGACAGAGAGTGAGTGGGGGGAGGGACAGAGGGGGAGAGAGAGAACATTAAGCAGGCTCCACACTCAGCACAGAGCCAGACATAGGGCTCAATCCCACGACCCTGGGATCATGATCTGAACCAAAACCCAGAGTCACATGCTCAACTGACTGAGCCACCCAGGCTCCCATGGGCATGTTGTATTTTTATTTGCTAAATCTAACAATCATATTCCCAGGCAGCCAGAACCCAGTAATTGTTCTACACAGAGAGAGAAGGGCCCAGCATCCTCACTCCAACACAGAGTGCTATTCTAGTTTCAGAGTTGGGTTTGCCATAGAGAATGCATCCCAGCCCGGCTTTTCTCTCTGCCCAGTCCTGCTCCCTTCCCTGGATTAGTCACAAATCCCAGAGAACATTCCTGAATTAACCTCCTACACACTAATCTCCCACCTCAAGTCAGCTTTCCTGGAATCCCAGCATAGGACAGTGTCTTGAGAATGAATAAAGAACAGTTTTCTAGAACACAAGGGGAACAATAAAGGGGGGAGGGTAGTCTGGAGAGAGATTCAGGCAAGCTTGAAAAGAGTATTTATTACACACACACTATAGTTAAACATGCAAGATGGACTGGTTCATAAAATATACTTTGGGTTATAATTTAGAAGGAAATATCCAGAAAATCCCAGTCATTCGACACTCCCCACGGAAGGGATGTCAAAGAGGAGGTGCCTTACACCAGTCGTCCTATGTCTTGCCATCTCTCTAGGAGCAGAGTGAGCCTCTGTGGTCTGCGGCCACGTGAAATCCCATTGAGGTCTTTACTTTGAACACTAGTACAAATTATACCCCCCGTGTCATAATTTATTGCTTCACATTTAAAACAAAATGCTTTTCCAAAAACAATTCCATTCATTGACTTCCAGGAAGAGGTTCCACAACATTCCTGTAGCTTTCTACACTTCGTGGAATCGGCCACTCACCCCTAAATGTCTTCTTACCCCATGTTCAGTGGCACAGCCCTGGAGGGAGATCTATTTCTTTCTTTCCCCACAGGGTTTATTCTGGGGAGAGTCATGTCGGCCTTTCTTGAGTACAGGATCTCTCTCTTCCTCTAGTTTCCTTCCAGCCAAAAGGGTTGTGTCCCTATGGAGAAGACAACTGCCCACTGCTCTTCTGCATCGATTACCGGTGTGGGAGGCATACAGTGACTAAGATTCATGTAAAAGTCTTTTGTGCAGGTTGCCGTGGAAACACTTGGTAGCTAGATTCAAAATCTGTATTAAAGAGACCAGGTCAGAAGCTGAAAGACGTTCATAAAGCATATAATTGAAGGTTATTATCACGACCTACCTTGGGTCACTTTCTGCTCATGGTATTGTCTGCCCCTTACCCACCCAGAAGCGCATCTCCCACTTTTGCCAAGATCAACGTTTCACTAGCTAGAAAAGAACATAAGTATAAGGAAATTGGAGTTTCACTGTGTTGTCCTAATTCTGAATTATCTATAAAACCCTTACTTTTAATTTTTTTTTTTTGAGAGAGAGAGCAAGCAAGGGAGGGACAGAGAGAGAGGAAAAAGGAGAATCTCAAGCAGGCTCCACTCTGTCAGCATGGATCCCAACACGGGGCTGGGTCTCACCAACTGTGAGATAATGACTTGGGCCAAAATCAAGAGTCAGACGCTTAATGAAAGAGGCCACCCAGATGCCCCCAAAACCTTACTTTTACAAGTTCGTGTCCCACTACTAATCCCTACGGTCCCATGTTACAACCTTCTCCATCAAAATGACCGCTGCCCCCCATTTTCTCTTATTAAATCAGATCTTCCTCATATTGGTTTTCCTCATAGCTATAACAAATTGCCGCAAATTTTGGTGACTTTTGTTTAATAAACATCACATGTGTATTATTTACAGTTGTGGAGATCAGAAGTCAGACACGGGTCTCGGCAGATGAAAATTAAGATGTCAGCAGGACTATGTTACCTTGTGTAGACTCTAATTGGTGACCCATTTTCTTGCCTTTTCCAGCTGTAGAGGCCGCCCACACTTCATGGTTCATGGCTCACTTCCTCCATCTTCAAAGCCAGTAACACAGCATCCCCATCACCACGTGTCCTTCTCATCAGAGCTGAGAAAGGATCTCCTCTTTTTAGGACCTATATTGTCGGACCTATATGGGGCACCCCTCCTCTCCAGAATATCCAGGATAATCTGCCCAAGGTTCTTAAGGTTCAAGGTTCTTAACTTAATCATAACTGTGAATTCCCATTTGCCAAATAAGGTAAAATATTCACAGGTTTGGGGTGATGGGGGTGTGGCATATATATAATCCTATATACCATGGTGTGCTATATGCCATGTCCACCAATAGCAATGATTCTTCCTTAACCTAGGGTAAGTCATGAAGATAGACTCAAAAATATTTGAAGAGTGTAAAAAATAAATTAAGTATAAGTGTATCAGATAGGATAAACAAAATTACAGTGAGCCACACCACACCTCTCCTTCTCTGCATGA